ATTTCCAGAATTAGAGTTCGACCGCAGCCTCATAGTCGATAATTTTTCAAATTTCAAAGGTCGTAAAATTTAAGAACAAACGGAGTTTACGAGGAAGAGGAACTCATAAGATGGGAAAATGAAGCGGTGAGAAATTCCACTATCCCGTCCCAAACCCTCTCCATGGACGCAACAGGCATTTCTAGAATGCTTTTCTCGTTAGAAATTCTTTTAAAAAAATCATCAAAATTTCAAAACTAATTTCATAAATTTAATATGATGACGACAGCAATGACTTAATTCTGTCAACTACTTTTTCCAGAATATACTTATATTCGATTTTTCCGGGTTGCAAAGAACCATGTAGACCATGGGTCCACCGTCCCCACCTTCAATTCCATGTTTGGCAGAGTTAAAAGGTACAATTTAATTAAAGGTTTGAGCTACTTTCTTAAAAAAAATTGATCTTTAAAAACGGCTCAATCCGATTTTGATGCCATTTCAGGCACCAAGCAGACATCAAGTATTGTTGGATTACAACTTTCTCGAGACCCTCGAGAAAAGCATGAGAAAGAACATGCTCGAATAGTACAATTCCTCCGTCGCTCAAGAATGAAATGGGTGATTTCTTGATAAAATTAATATAATATCATAGTTTATTTAGTTGAAACATCAAATGAGCACACGAATTTCAATATCGACATTCTTAAATGAGCCACCATATTGAAAATGCCTATTAAGGGAAAAATCCCACTTTGAAAACACACAAGCGTTTTGGCTATTCAACTTAAAATGTGACATTTAAAAGTAACTTTTTAACTTTTAAGTATATTTTTTAGCGTAGCCAAACATGTAATAAATACATCCGCCCTATTCCTTTTATTTATATTCACCCATTTCTTACTACTTTCTATGTCCTTTTCCCTTCGAAAATAATTCTTGAAATTCTAGTCTTACACACACATTCGTTGGCATTGCGGTTTTCTTGTTAGAATCAAGAAACTGGCTGGCGACGAATTGATTTTGTTGAATTACTGGAT